CCAACTGTGACTCTCTGGCCCTTTCTAAAGGGGTAAACTTACATTTTTTTTTTTTTTTTAATTTCAACATTATGCACTGTGGCAAGGCCTTTGGCCATGAGCAGATTTTGGGTGAGAGCTTTGGTCAGATTGATTTTGGGCAGGGTACTGAGGTAGGCCTGGAAATGGCCATTGGCCCTGGGCTGCCACCAGCAAATCAAACTCCCTGCACACCTGTGACAGCAGCAGCAGCAGGGGAGCCTGGCACAGGGACAGGAGCTGAGGCTGGGTGGCTGCTGAAGGCACTGGCCAAAGGACCTGTGTGCTCACTGAAGCTGGACCAGGGTGGCAGCAAGTGTGGTGGTGGTGGGCAGATGCTCATGAGCACTTCCACGGTAATCTCTGAAACACCCTGGATTTAATTTTTGCGTCAGGCTGCTTGCTTCTGCAGAGAACAGTTTATGGTGGAGTTTTGTGTTTACAGAGAACTGTTAGGCTGCCCTTTAAAGTGTTTAAATAATATTGTATCAACATGGTGCAGACTGATACGTATCTTAGCAACTGTGTCAAGTTCACGATGGGCTAAAAATCCAAATGGGAATCAAACAATCTGGAGCCTTAAAGCTTAGAAAGCTGAGAATAAGGAAGAAATTACTAGAGAAAATTTTGGACCCAACCAAGGCAGCCCTTCATCTTAAGACCATGCTCATTGTAGTTAGCAAGTACCTTAAAACTATAATTAAAAAGCAATATGCACACAGTATCTCAAAAAATTGTAACAAAAAATTACATTTTATGGCAAGAAAAAAATTTGAAGTAACAAAAGTGCAATTGAAGTTCAAAAGGAGTGAAGTCTATAACAAAGAAAAATACTGCTGGTTTTATTTACATTTTACATGCCCATTGCTTCTTAAGTCTGGAAAACTCTGTATTTAAATATCAGGTTGAATGCTGTAGATTTACTCCAAGTGTATGTGAATGAGAATATGGAAGAAGGTCCTGCTGTAAACATGAGCAAACGCTCATCACCCACTGTGCTATTGCAAAAAGTCATGCAGAAACCAGCATTACAGGGAGTTTACAGGCCTCTGGGTCTGAGACAGGTTAAGTGTGTCATAAATTGTCCCAGAACTATCAACAGTCACTTGGCATCAGATTCCAATGATCTACATTCATGGTCACCCCATTTATTGTGTGACTATCTCAAGTAATTCCTGAACATACTGTGTGAGCAATTATTTTTGACTTGAACAGACTGAATTGGTCCTGTCTGCAGTACCTGAGCTGGGTCTGCAATGCCCCTTACCTTAGAGAATGAAGTTTCTTCCACAAAGCAAATTTCAGCTTCAAAATGCATCATGTAAGAGTTATTCAGATTTTTCAAGTACACATTTATCCAGAGATCTGTTGCTCAGTTGATGATTTGTATGAAGCTGATATTAAAGGCATTGTTAGCTAAGCCTTCTATGTACCTTGAGGATCATTATGGAGAGGATAAGGAGAGTTTCTAGTTATCAGGAACACCTCTCTGCCAGAATTCTTACAAGGCAGCACTGGACTTCTTCTGTTCATGTTTTTCCTCTTCAAAAACAGATCTAAGAGAGAATGAAGGCATAATAATGGCCCAAACCAACACTGACACAAAGCTTGTTTTAGGTGTTAATGGTTATGGCCTTGTAGTTCTTGAATGTGCTGGACAAATCACTGCAGTGAATGCCAGAGAGTCTCAAAAAATAGTCTGGGCCCCTGAGGTTCCAGCCAGGTTTTGGGAAGGGATGCACTGTGTGAGAACAAAGCCTTTGGTTTGGCACATGGAGATTAAAGGATCAGTTTGGTAAGATGGAGCAAGAAGGCAGTTATTAAAGTTAAAAGGATCTTGAACTTGATTCACCACGTGATGTGAGGAGGGCACAAGGGGTTTATGTGGCTATGCTGCTGCTTGTACCGTGTGAACCTCTGAAGAGTGGAGGTCCCATCTAATCTTAAATTACTTTGTCCTTCCCCGTTCTTGTGTCATGCCCGAGATGTGAGATTTCACTGACTCTGTGCTCAGTAACTGAATCTGCCAGCTGATGGCTTGAACCTTTCCCAGGAATCACAAGGGACAATCAAAACATCTCTGCATTTTAAGACACTGAGAGCATTTCACCATATGAACTTGAGGATTTTTTTTACTATCCCTATGTACTGGGGTATTGGAAGAAGCATTAGAGATGGGAAACACTAACTTAGAAAAAAGAGGAAACTTATTTTTAAGACTTCTTCCTTTGGAAGAGGATAAATTTATTAAAAATGTAAATTTTGAAGATCTGAATAGAAAAGCAGTGGAGTGATTTCTCAAGAGCTAATAATCTGTTCCCAGGAAATATTTTAAAATAATTTACTGTGAAATTGATTTCATCAGATGATAAAATCATATGGGTCTCTTCTGTCATGGAAATTCTTTGAAATGAAATGCCTTTTTGGGTGAAATAACCTATTTTTCCATGCAAAAAAATATGGTTTTGCAGGAAAGAAAATATTTCTCCCTCAGGAAAACTTTGTCTGAAGAGGGAAAATGAAACTGAGAAGCTCTTTTCCTGTGAATATCTTACAGGGGGATGAAGCTGCTGAGTACTCTGCAGTCTCACTGCCATTGAAGTGTCAGCTAAGGGATGCAAAAATTTCTGGGAGCTTGGATTTCTTCTGTCAGCCCAGGCTGTGTTCAGGTCAATTTTATTCCTGTGAAATTCCCAAGATCCTTTCATGTAGACAGCAGGATAATTCATTATTGTCCTTCCAAAACAGTGAATTTTTTTTTCTAGAGTTCCTTGTCAATAAAGGAGAAAACGCCACATTTCTAAGTTTTTGACCCCTCCAAGAAGGAAGAAATCTTTCAAAACTCTCTACTCTTTTGAAGGAATGGATGTTATTTTCTCAGCTATTCTACTGAAGATATTCACTGGATTTTTGTCCAACATCCCATGGGGATTTTGAAGCAGCACACAGGGAGTGTTTTGTCATGAGATGGAGTGTTGTGCTTGGTGCAGGTGCAGCTCTGAGTTTCCAGTGGCCCTGGACACAGGATTGTCAATGGTTCAGGATGAAGGAGGCTGCCTACAAGGGCTCTAATCTCTACTGGAACGTCACAATCAGTATTGTATTCAAATCTGACAGCTGTCTAGTGAAACCACTTTTGTTAACCAATCCCTGTTTTTTCCATTTGTTCTCCCCTGCTTATCTTTCCTCTGGTTTATCTTCCCTTGACTTCTGTCACCTTTCTCATTATGTATCACCCCCCTACTTTTCTTTCCATAGAAATTTCCGTCTCAGAGGTGGGAGGACAAGAAATTTGTTATATTCAATCCCATTTCCTCCTGATAACAATACTTTTAACATTCATTATATCTAAAGATTCTGTCAAGATATAAGAGAAAAAAAGAACTAGACAGTGACCATCCCATCTGGTACATTAAAAATAATTAAATTAAATGGAAGAACCTGAATGTTTCTGCCAATGATAGTTACAACAACAGCATGCACCATCTTAATAACAATGCTCTTCTCTCCATGAATGGCAAGGTATTAATATAAATATGTGTACTTTTTAAAAATCTAAAATACTTTGATTGCAGGGCCTTGATCCTTTTCGGTCTTTTTGATTTTCTCCCTATTCTGGGATTCATTTTATTGATTCACTGGAACTGATGCTTACCTGATACTTTCCAAATGAATAATAAGTCCTTGGACCTCAAATAACAGCTCAAACTTTGCTTGAGAAATTCAGGAAAAATCATGGCACGTACACATTTGTCTAAGTCTGTCTGCTCTCCTGACCAGCAGGTATGAGCTTGATCTGCCTGCAATTTTAAATGAAAATTTTTAGTGATTGAGTAAAATAATGATTTCCTGAGCAGTATTTCTATTTCAGTAGAGTTTATTGGTATTTTGTAGCAATAACTTTTTCCATCAGGAGAAAAAGGAAACACATCTATTTCCATTCAGGTTGTACAAGAGGACCTGTGTAGCTGACAATCCTTTATTCTGCTTTTAGACACTTTTAGAGAGACTATTGCAGTTTATGTAGCCCATGATGCACTAAGGTGACATCCAGAGCTTGAAAAAAATATTAGTTCTCACTTCAACATTTGTATTTGACTGTAGATCACAGCTCTGAAGGGGATTTTGTCTCTTGCCCCTCACTTACAGTATTTGGCACACCAGGTACTGCATAGAACTCAGTTATTCTGTTACAGGGTAATGTACTTGTTTATTTTGCCTAGCTAGTCTCCTTTAGAAAAACTGCTTCTTTAAATGACTGTTCTGCTCCCAGATGTTGTTTAACATTCAGCTTCCCTCCTTGGCTTGACCCATATTGCAATGCTCTCATTCGTTTTGAGATTAGCTATGGTTACAATATTTGACTTCAGCATTTTGAACACTTTGGGGTTAAACAGCATTTAAATTCAAGATTAATCATGTTGGGTTTTGCTATGAAATAATGAGTTCCATCTGCTTAAAGTACTTTGAGTTGAGTAGTTTCAAATATTAACAGCAAGGTATTTAAAGTTGAGCTTGCTAGAATTCTATTGTCTGAATCAAAACCCTTTCACTTCCTTTATACTTGCTGTCAGATTACAATACAATATTTAGAAGAATGTTTTGTCCAATTTCATTAGTCACAAAGATATAACAAGATGGCATTCTACTTTTTCATTCAGCACCTGGTAAACTTTCATTTAAACGTGCCAAAATAAATTATTTTTCATTCTTCCTGAAATGTTTCAAATGCAAACAAACACTCTAAACCAACCCAGTGGTGTTGTCCTGTTGGTTTTCACTTTGTCCATGCCTGGTTACTGGACAGTCTGTGCTTGAGTCATGGGAATTCTGTGCTAAGAAAAAACCCCTGCACCTTTCTCTGTAGTAGCACTTGGGCTGATGCTTCCAAACAGAAATGACAATCAGAACGTGGGCTTTCCTCATTTCATGGAGACTTAAGATGTGACTATTGTTCTCATCTCTTATCTCTAGGCTGTGGACAAAGCCACTGAGTTCTACTCTCTGGGGAGCACTGCAAGGATGTCAGGAGCTACTCTGGATCTGGTGAGCATCTTTGGGATGGCAGAATCCAATTGTCATGATTTTTTTTTTTTTTTGAGTGGAATTTGGATTGGAGATTCGTGTCAAGCAGTTATTTTACATCGAATTTTGTAGTGTTTTTCTCTGGAAAGAGTAAATCCTGCCTTAAGCAAATTTATATAAATCTTGGCTATGTTTTTATTGGGAAAGATTTCCCAGTGTTCTTGGAGGAACTGGAAGACCTCACCTTGAGTGAAGTCTGTGGCCAAGCAAAATACCTGTTGAAGGCACTGTTTCAGAGAGGACGAAATATGTGATACAATGCCACCACATTTTCTTTGTCAATATCAACCTCTTTTCATGTTCTCTCTTTCACTTAGGGGGTTTTATGTCCCTGCAGTGAAAGACATCCCTGACTAGTAGTGTTCTCCTCATTTTTATTCTTCTCTTATTATAAGGGTATTTTTTCCATTATATCTCATTTTCAGATTTGTGATTTCACCTCCCCTCTCTCTTTCTTTTTAACAAACTGAAGTATTAAGAAAGGGAGGGTCATAGATGAATTCCTGAGAGCAGAGATTTGAAGATTTGATTCCTATAATGCAGAGTACTTTCATCTTCAATTAAAAGGAATAATGAATGAATCTCTTTTAAACAGAAATTCAATCACCAAATTATTTCCTTTTACCTATGCTACTGTGGTTCAAAATTTTTATACAGCACTGGATCTAATGGAAACTCTCCTCTGAATGACTAGGAGCAGAGTCTTAGGATACTGCAATTTAAAATTTAAAAATCATTTAAAAGTTTAATTTAGACCTAAGACATGGCTCATGTAAAATTTTCTGCTTCATTTTAGAAGCTGCTAGTTAATTAGGAAAAAGGTGAAGAACTTCATGCACTACTGAATCATTTTTTCTGTATCTTTTAATGAATTTTTAACATCTAGTATACAAATAGGTAATCAAGTATTGCATCACTCTAACCAATACTCTAAGTTCAAGAATCAGTCAAAAATAATTTCTTATCTTTGTGAGCTTTAAGTCACAAAAATATATATATTAATTTTTTAATCAACAGAGCAAATGTGAGGGCATGTGTGGATATAAACTAAGGCAAGTTGAGTGAACTATATTGCAAGTTATATATTACTATATATGCAAGTTGAGTGCATCCTCAGAAAAAAGAAAAAAGTTTAACTGTAATTTAAAAAATTCAATATAAAACTTAATCTACTAATCCCTTTCTTTAAGGTCATTGAGTTTTACAGAAACCACAAGGCTGTAGTTACGATTATATTTTTATATAAAATGCATTAAATATTTACAATAAAATAGTTTAAGGTTGTAAGGGAGATATTATTACTCAATGAAGATGCATTTTAAGAAAAATACAAAGATACATATTGATTTTTAAATAGTGATCAGTTTTGTGTGCCTTCACAAAGTGGATAAATAGTCTTTGAGTTTTATTATTTTTCTGTTAAAGTTGAACATAACACATAAAAAAAAAGAGAGACAAAAATTATATGCAGTGACATTTACTGTGTGGGTCACAGAAGAGTTTACTTCCTCAAAATCTTCCAGATCACTCTAAGTCTAACACCTATTAAATGACTCAGGAATATCAAAAATACAAATGGAAATTATGAAAGTGAGATATGTGTCAAATTTAACAGTTAACAAAAACTGGGAGACATTTTCTTATTTAATTTTCAGTCCTCAGCAATATGTAGCCGGACCATCAGAAATTTTAGTTGGTGAAACAGAACCAGTGCCTAAATCCTAGCAATCCAAAAAAGCTGAGGGTAGGAGAAGGCTTGCTGATCTGGGGGCTTTTCCAGGCAGTTTAGTCTGGTCATTGCTATTTATGGATGGCTGAGTCCTGACTTGCTTCAGAAACTGAAGTTTTCTTAAATTATCTCAGACTCATAAAACCAGTTGTGTATATATTTATATATACATATATAATTGTGATGGCTATGTGTTTGTGTAAAGGTGGTGAAGAACTGCCTTTGCTTACACTTCCCCTTAGCAGTTTTGTTAAACCTGCTCTGCAAAAGTGGAGCTACAAAGTCTCAGTTTCTGAGAAATGGTGGCATTGCACCTGTTTGCTTAAGCTTTAGCATGCACTCAATTGCCACAGATTAAATGTTGAGATGGATTTGATATCACAGTTTTTGTAGAAGCTGCATAAAGATGATGGGTACAGAGCTGAAATCTGGTCCAAACAAACTCTGTAGCAACTGAAGTCTGCCTTGGATGCCTTCCACAGTTTGCTTTTCATTCTACCATCCCAGGGTACAGAGGATTCCTCAGCACCAGCGCTTAGTTGAATACTAATATTACCCTGGCATCCTATCTCAAAAATAATCAGCAGTTTAGTTCTGAATCTTTTCTTCTGAGTAGTCTTTTTCCTGGATTTGTGATAATCCATCTGCCAGGCCCTATTGTTTTGTTGTTTATCTGAAAAATCTGATTTTCACATCTTTATGTACCACCTGGCTCACAGGAACAAAACTGAATATGAACTGCAACAAAGAAAATAGATTTAGGTTTTTCGTGAAATTTTTTTATTGTAGATGAAGCTATTCAGTTCCTTAGGGACTAACTGAATGTTTCCTCTTGGCATACACTTACCTTTTATCGAGGCTGGGTTTTAATCTATTATAAATGCCTATTCTTATATGTGCTGTTAATAAAGTGTTTGAAGAGTACATGAGGGAAGAGAAAAAATGAGGAGCTAGTCTTTTCTTTACCTGTGTAAGCCTGAATATTTATAAATTCAATGAATCTAAAACATTATCAGTGTTATGCTGGAATAACTTCACATCCATAGAATACTAAGGCATAAAAAGATGCTAACTAAAAATTCTGCATTAAGAAAATTTCAATGCATTGTTATGCAGTCAAAAATCAGGAAATTATAGCATTAAGATTTTGTGTTTAACCAAATGTGCTGCCTTCATATTGTCATGACAATACAATCTTTAGATTGTAATAACAGACTGCATTTAGTGCTGCTATTATATCTTATGGGCTCATATCTGACAGCCTAATACACATCTAGAATAGAAAACAACTCTGTTTTGTTGGGTATTTTTAAAATTATTTGACATTTTCATGTTTTGACTTGCATACTCTGAGAGTTTTCAAAATCCAGGGGAAAAATCTGAGCATAACAGAGAAGCCCCTCCCTGGCAAGGTTGGTTACCTGGCACTCTTCCTATCAGCCCTTGACCAAAACTTACATCATGGAGCTAAAAGCAAAGTGTTGCAGTCACCTGTGCACTTCAGGTTAAAAAAAAGGTGCTCTTAGAAAAATATGTGAGAAAAGTTTTTCAGAATTGTGTGTGCTGTTTATGGAACCTGCTATTAAAACTGTAGCATTTACCAGAGTTAGCCACAAAATATCCAATGTAACCACGGGTTCTGGCTGCACTTGGTAATGAAAATATGGGTGATAAATTGTTGTTAAAAGTTTACTTAGAAAAATATTTACCTTATCTTCTGATTTTTATGCTAGCAAAGGATCTGCAGAGTTATGCTGTGATAATGGTTGGGCATTGCATTTGGAGATGACAGATGTTTAAGGCATTATCAGTATTTTGGACCAGTTCTTTTTTGTTACATCTTCTGTCTCTTGTACTGTTCAAGGGGCAGTCATGAACTGAAAAATTTCTCCAAGTCACTTCTGCACAATTTTGGCTCAGGACAAGATGCTGTGTTTAAATTGCATTTAAACCCTGGCTGTTAGTGCTGTTCCACTGCTGTGCCAGCTCAGAGTCCTGGGCTTCTTTCCTTTCGTATGCTACATGAATTTTACCTTCCAGGAATTTTACTAGCCCCTGGAATCAGCTACATCCACCTGCTGAGAGTAGCTTTACCCAGCCACTAAGTGTCTATCCATGTGCACTCTAAGATCCCAATATGCAGTGAGAACATGCTACTAAATAAATAAACCTGGCTTGTTCTTTTGCACAGGCTCTAACTCTCTCTTTCACTGGGCACAGATCAGAAGGAAGTCACTTAAAACCAGTGAAACCCAGACTCCCAAGTGAAATGAAATAGACTTGGCATAAGTCTTGCAGAGTAAAAAAATATACCTTTTTACCATGTACCCTTGAGGGCTGCAGTAAATATGTTCCATTTAATGTAGTGTCTTTATGAGCTGAGAACATAGCCTGCTGATTTTTTTTTTCTTATTATTTAAGACTGTATCATATCTGAACTTCTACTTCCAGTAAGATCTGCTATGATTACTCTGGGGATGTGAAAGCCAAAGCATAGGCTTTATCACAGGGTTGTTTTAAATAAATATTTAGTTTGATTTGGTGGTTTTCTTTAGCCTAACTATCACCACCTGTTTAGCATCTTCTCCCATAATAAACCAATTAGTCCTAAGAAGTTAGTGAGGGGGATGCTGAGTTTTGGGGCAGACTGGTAAAAATTGCTGGGGAAGGGAGAAATTCCTGCTCATGGGAGAAAAGTAGGATCTTCATTCTTGTTTGGCAAACACAATGAAAACCTGGTGAGTCTATTGGGACATACTTCCCACACCAGTGGCATTTTCCTATCTTGTGTTGACACAAACAGAGGAAGTAACAAGGTCTACCTGATTTGCATGGGATGACCAGGCAGTATTGGTAAGCAGAAGTGGAACACAATTAAAAGTGCTCTTCTCATAGGGGGTTTATTTGGCAGACTTTCTGCCTCTCCACCTTACTCCAACTCATTTCATTTCCTTTGACCTTGTCTTAACTTCTGGTTTCTGCCAGTCTTGCTCTCCTGTGTCTGTTCTTCCTTCCCAGATGAACAATCAGCCAGTGAATCCTCTCTCAAGGAGGGCCTGCAATTGAGGAGCTGAGGTGTGCAGGAAGCAGCCTGTTGTCCGGATCACTCTGTGATGGGAAGGGTCTAACAACTGGTGAATATTTTCTGCATTCCCCATTACTGTGTTTAGACACTCCTTGCACACATTTTTTAGTCCTTTCTCGTCTCTAGCTTCCAGATAACTCCCTGTACAGTTTCAAGCTTTGGGAATATACATGGTCTCCTTCCATGGGATGGTTGTGCAGAAGTCAAAGCATGTCCAATCACTCTCCAGACAGCGTGGTGGGAGCTTTCTGGAGGATAAGTCAGCTGTGGCAAAGTAGAATGACTCAGCCATAGTTTTAACCACTAAGAATTGTACAGCTACGTTTGTCAGACAAGAAAAGCTAGACAGTAAATCAGATGCATTTTTAAACCACAGAACAGAATGAAAGTGGTGGTTATGATACAAGCTGTTTTATCACCCTAGCAATTTTCCAGTGGTCTCAACTATAATTTTAGTAAATCCAGCTGTGGTATTTAGTAAAAAAAAAAAAAAGTGGGGTTTTGGGGTTTTTTTGCCTTTTAAATTTTTTTTTCTTTAATTGGCTGACTTTTCACACACTGTAAAAGGTCAGGGGTGAATGGGAAAGGTTGATTCATTTCTCTGAAAGCTTTACCTGCCTCTTTAAACACAATATTTTGTTGTCCCTTTGTTCTGAAGTTGGCAATTTTTCTGTAACAATCTGTATCTTGTGGTCTAAACCAGCCTTATTCCAGCAAAGGGAGGCAGATTGGCATCTTTGAACTAGAGACATAGATGTAGCAAGGTTGTTATTTTATAATCCCAGAGCATACTTTTTACAAGCCTGTTCTTTAATTGTGGTGAACATGATGGCCAGCCTCCCTTCAGAGTACTCTTCCAGGGAGCACATCTTTTTATTTTTGGCTGGGAAATGAGAGGGTGGCCTGGCAGGGAACAGCATTGCTGGAACTCACCCATCCCTGCCAGCAGTGGCTCCCAGATGTTGGTAGGATTTTTTCTGAAGCCATGATAGCCTAAGAGAATAAGACAGGCAGGATCTGTGGGCAGAATTAATCATTTTTATTAGATTGATATTCTTGGAAAAAGATATATTTCCAGGCACTCAGCCCATCTTCATGTATGACATTGTGTTCTGCATGGTCTGCCATGGGCTGACAGGTTGAGTGCCTGCCATTTACTTTGCTTTTCCCAGCTTTCTTTTTTCCCCCTGTTCTTCTAATAAAGGCCATTACCTCTTCCTGCAAATGCTGACTCTATAATACTGAGCCTTCAGCCGGTGGCAGAAACTGAACTGATCTGGATTGCTTCATCACAAACCTGAGGTGGAACAAGTCAGAGGTGGCCCATCCTGAAATGAGGAAGAGTGTGTTTCTATCCTCCTAAGTCCAGGATTGATTTCTCACTGTATGCTCTGCCCATGCCAAAGGCCCTGCAGGGTAACAAAGGCTGTAATCGAAAGAATGAGGTTATTGGGCAATATGGACCTAGAGAGGTTTGCTAGAACAGTCCTTAGCTGCTTGAAAACCTTTTAGACAGATTTGGGAGTTTTTTCCCCTTTTCCTTGACACCAGTTGTTGTTTTACAACAGGTTCCTCCATCAATTTCTTGCACAATCATACTGGAGCTGAACAATGACAGAATGCTATAGAAGTAATGACTTGAATTATCTTTTTCTTTAAACTCCTCACAGTTTAACCAATACCTACTAGAAACCAATGTGCATATTACAATGATTTCTTAACTTCTCAATATGACTATATGAATATCCTGGAAAGTACAAATAATATTATTTTTATAATTTGCCTCTTCTTAATTCAGTACATTTCCCCATATGATTCTTTCCTGAACAGCAAAACCTAATGAAATGAACTTTAATTGTGTATGTCTAATTTGGCTCTGCAGAAATCTTGCAATGCAGTTGCCAGGTGTTTCTGCTCATGGTCAGCCACTCCTCACTGTGGTATATAATATTTAGGAGATGAATAAGAAGTTTCTTTCCTGGGTCCTTGTTTGGGCCTGCTAAAAGACCTCTCACTGATTATCAAAGAGTCATGCAGTCCTGCTGATTACAGTGTAAAACGTTACACCTGTGAAATGTTCTGCCAGATAAAAGTCTCCCAAGTATAACTGAATGTATCAGTGTCAAAGTCAGCTTTGTCTATGATGAAGTAAAAAGCTTTGTGTCATGTGCAATATTTCTTTAAGAGTGTCCACAGTTTGCCGCTTAAATTAACCACACCCAGCTGTGTGTGCCAACCTCAGCACCTGTGGCCACTTAGGAGCCCTGGAGTTAGGCTTGTTAAGGGTGATGAGGTTCAGCTGTTCTGGGAGTGTTTTCCTCACCGGGCACTGCACAAAAGGAGCTCAGGGAGTGCCTGGGGTTGCTTTTGGCTTGGAGCGAGAGTGCAGCCAACATGGGTGTCTTGGAGGTGAGGAGGGCTGGGAAAGTTTTGTGGTGTAGCTTAGAAGACTATCACAGGTGTGTTTCTCTTAAATGTGGTAAGCTAAAAATCTCCATTACTAAGGCATCTTTCTTTCCTCTTTTAGAGAGGGCAGCAGTTGTGGACTGAGAACCAAGTAACTCTTTCCAGAACAAAGGAGACATGTCTTAAAGTACCTGGAAAGCTGTGAGTAAAGGTGAGTCAGAGACCTTTCAAGGTGTCTTCCTATCTAAAAGCCAGTATTACGTGTGTCTATACTTTGGATTTAGTATTCATTGAGGGGTGTATGTAAGTAAGCATCTTAATGTCTTTTGCTTGGAGTATCAGTGATAAGGAGGTCTCCTAGGGAAACAAATTTTATCAGTACTGTCTGTACTTGTCAGAAGGACAGAGAGTTGGGGTTTTTTGCATATTTCTTGTGTTTCTGGCTTATTTTGCTTTGGATCCCTCCCTACTTAGTTCAGAACACAAAGGATTTTAAAGCTATGAGTTCTCAGTTGCGGTGTGTCCATTTAACAACATACATTACAGGTTTAAAAAAATATTGTTCTTGAAAAGGAAAAAAGTTTAAAAAATAGTGTTGAAAAACAAGCTTACTCTAAGGTCATTCTGATAGTCTTTCAAAAATAAGAGAATCTCTGAAACCTTCAAATTATTTATTATTAATAGAAATAAGCTCTGAAATTCTAAGTCTCAAATAGAACCAGACTTGCTACAGGTTAGCTGAGGGCAGCATATCTGTGTTTGAGGGAGAATGTTCAAAGAAAAGTGAGGGAGCAGGGGAAGGGTCTAGAGCATGATGAGGAGCAGCTGAGGGATCTGGAGAAATAGAGGATGGAAGAGAACCATGGAGCTGTCTACAGCTACCAGAGAGGTGAGATGGAGTTTGGTCTGTTCTCCTCCTTAACAAGTAGAGCAACAGGAAATGGCCTCAGATTGCACCGGGGAGGTTTAGATTGGGTATTAGGAAAACTTTCCTTTTGGGAAGGGTTGTTAAGCCCTAGAATAGGCTGCCCAGGGATGTGGTGGAGTCCCTATCCCTGGAGGTATTTAAGACATGTAGCTGTGGAACTTTGGGATGTGGTTTAGTGGTGGACTTGGCAGTCCTATGTTAACAGTTAGACTTGATGATCCTAAGATTTTTTCCAACCTAAATAATTCTATGAATCTAATGAAACCTTCATTATTTGACCATGTAAGTAATATATGGTAATTCAGAAAAGTCGTGCTCTTATTCAGTTGATCAAGTTGAAGGGAATTGCTAATGTTATGGCTGTTTATACCATCAAATATCTCTCAGCTGTGTGGGCTGTTCCATGGCTCCTTTCATCAAGACTTAATCTGTGATTTATAACTCACAGTAATGACTCAGATTTCTGGTGTTTCCCCATTGCATCTGGAGGAAGCATTACTTTAAGGTAAAGCCTTAATTATTTATAGCAGTAGAAAGTCCTAAAAGTGACTTAATTTTTTCCAGCTTAGCATAATACTGTGTCTTTCTAGTTGCTTCTGTATAGCTTCTCCCTGTACATATTAATGAGGCAAGCTTTTTTGTGAAAAAGAAATTTCACAGAAATTTTGGAAGAAGAAATCAAGTTACAAATTTTCTCTTGCTAACAGGTTTAGGGCTCTTCTAGTCACAAGAACAAGATTGTACTGATGAGTTTGGCCTTTTTATTTCAAAATGTGTGGAAATTCTCATACAAACATTAGGGTTTGTATGGCTACGTGGCTACTTTATTTATTTTTGCGCATGAATAAATAAGAGACCGAGAAATGTGAATGCTAAATGAAGCTCAAAATTATAGGGGACAAATTAACAGTATAGCAGAAAAAAAGTGGAAAGGAGATCTCTAACAGCTAATGATTTAGCTGTTACCACAGTTCCTAGTACTCTGCTAGCCTTCAGGGTAACTTTTACTTATGTTTCTACACCCAGAGCTGCGAGGGCCTGCTCAGTAGGGGAGGAGAGTCAGGTCTCTTTTGTTCTGGTCCATCACAGCCTCACCTAGATGTCTAATGGGCTGGGCTGCCAGTAGCACTGCTGAAACTGTATTTGAGAAAGGCAGAGACACCTACTAGAGCAGGTCTTTTCCCTGTGCCCTGTACACAGCAGAAACCCAAAACCTGTGATAGTTATGCAATGCATTAAATATGAAGTGCCTTGCCAGCTCTGGTGCCTGAGGCATGGGTTTCATTAAGCATACCATCTTCACAGAGTGCCTAGCTTCTAACTGTAAATGCTAGTAATTAAGTCATCCAGATTTTTAATGACAGCCTTGAACTTAGTTGCCCTGGATCTTGATCTCATATTGTTTCAGTTTTAGAACAGAAATCCCCTAACCCCATTTGCTCTAGTAATTGCCTTATCAATAGGAGCAGTAACCATCTTGGGTGGCCATGCATCTGGCATGTAATATTGTATGAAGACTGTAAACCAGTAAAAAGGTGGAGCTCTTCAGTGCATAGTTGGAATCTGCATAGCCAAGGTATTCAGAAAGTGTGTCATATCTGTAAAATGTCTTTGTCTTCACTGATTCTCTAGTGCTAGTTGTTTTGGTCTTTTTCTCAAGTGCAATGCACTCACCTTGGATCCTGAAGTCTACGTTACAAACTGTGAAAAAGAGCTAAGTCTCAAATAGTTATTAATCAGTCAGAATAAATATTTTATAAAATTTGAGTTGATTTGTCTCCCTACTTCTATGAAATGATTTATGCATGCAACTAATTTTCAATGGTGCCTGAGCCTCGTGCAGTGTTGCTGTGTGTAATAACTGCCTTGGCCTAGGCAGTGAACTGATGCACAGGCCAGAGGAAAACTTTGTGCGTAGCCAATCCTCTCCATTTAAAACAGCAAAAGCCAGCTCAGCTGGAATACATCCACATATATGTGTGTATATAAATAACTGCAAGTATAGCACACACTGTATAAACAGCTGAAGAGAAATCACTGAGCTCCCCAACAGAACCAGAGAGAACAAAAAATAGGGTACACAAATCTGTGGGGAGTTGAGAAGGGACTGCTTTCTTCAGTTTCCCGGGAGACACTTTGACATAGAAACAGAAGAAACCCTGGCTCCAGCAAAGGAATGGGTTAGTGGGTGCTCTTTGGAGTGCTTGTTCCCACGCATAAGCTTTCACAAGTTTTAGGGCTTATTTAACTGTATGCCACTTCTAAACAGCATCAAGTAGAACTAATTACTTGTTTATATTTATTTATTTTCTAACAATACAGACTTTACTGGCAAACAACTTCTTTCCTCTCAAAACTGACTTTGTAAGAGTGGATCACAAAAATTACAAAAGTTCATGGTTTTGTTTTTAAGGGGATTTTTCTAATGTTCTCAGGCCTAAAAGGCAGAATTAAGCTAAAAATGACACACCCAAATATGAAGTTTAGATAAAATTGGATGTTCTAAAAATACTTGGAGTTGGTCTTGCTCCTTTTAACTTAATGGTAGTTACAAGAAATTTTTGTTTGATAACAAACTGAATTCTGAGTCACATCCACTATTAAATTTATATTGCATCAGATATTTTCATCTCATCAGTGGGAATTATGTTCTAAGATTTCTATAAGCATCTTATATTGCCTATGTGTTTTCAATTACTCTGTTATAAAACTTCTCTATAAGTAATTTTTAATGGTTTCACGAGGATGCAGGGTTCTGAGGGTTTGCTCACTTAATACAAAAGTAAGAAAGAATCTTGGTGTTGTAAAAATTATATGGCCCCTTTTGGTATGAAGTTTCAGAAAGGTTGCATTAAAAATGAGAGTAAATGCAGAGAACTACAAAATTAATTAGGCTATAAGGACATGCTGTGTATTGAAAGATGTCTACTTGGTTCATTAACTTCTCCAAGTAAAGGTTAAGATGCTTCTTAACAGTGGTCAAGTGTCTTTGTAGGGAGAAATTATAGAGCGCTCTTATATTCAGCTGTTAAAGACAGAGGAATCTAATAGTGAAAAGTGAAGCTATGTAAATTCAGACCAGAGATAAGGCAGTCTCTTATCAGTAAGGGTTATTCATCACTGGAACAGCTTACCTAGACATGTAATAATTTCACCTCCATTTAGTGTATGAATGAACATCTTTCTAAAAGAGATGCTATAACTCAAAAGCAAATTATGGTCTTGAAGCATAAATTATTGGGTGAGGTTCACTGGCCTGTGTTGTGCAGGAGACCAGACTGTGTTTCTTAACAGTACTTTTTTGCCTTACACTTTGTGACAAAGTAGCTGCCAGCAGGATTATTTGGAGGTATAAATCCATCTTAAGTGTACATCCCTATTGAGCTTGGTGAGTTTTGTAAGCACTCTTTATGGATCAGGCAAAGAAATTGTTGTCCATAAGCACTTGACTGGCACTGTGAGTAGGAAAAACTTAGTGTTGTGGATTTTCTAAATGCCTCCTTGTAGTCAATCCCAATCCATTAGAACAGTAATGGTAGGAAAATCTCTGTTGTTATCAGCCTTGTTTGCTTAATTCCACTGAACTATCTAGTGAAATCTTAGTAAGGCTGCTGGCATATTTACAGCTAGCTGCAAAACTATTACAGGCTGATGGAATCTGAAGGACAGCTTGTGATATCAGTAGAAAACACCAGATGTTACAGGCAGGCAAATGTAATAAATTAACTGACATAGTTACAAGTGATGGAGTAATAGCCCAAATTCACAGACACTTTAATAATGGTTGATATATAAATATGCTTACTGCAATCAGTTGGGTTAGTCACATTGTCTTGTTACTTGCAGAAGCCTTGTTTCTTATCCTGCCTAAATAAGTAAGAGATCAGACCTTATAAAAGCTTGTACAGGTCTGCTGTATATTTAACACCCTATCTCAGCAGACTCTTAATGCTGGCACAAAGGTCCCTGTACTGGTGGTGAACACTTCTGGAATCGGAGCTTGGTTGTAGCTGTAGTTTTGTAAACAAAGAGGACAAGGGGTACTGCCTCTCGGTGGTAGACCAGCAGCTTTCACCAGCTAAAGATACAGAGGTCTCTTTAGGGAAAGAATTGTTGGCCCTGAGTGTGACTTTTTCCTTAAAAAAGGACCTCAAAGGACACCATGTTCTCTTCAAGGTCAAACTGACATGAGCAAAAAAAGTCTAGATGAGTTACAGGAAAAAAAACTATTGTGCTCTTTGTACAGACTCCTTATAGGAGCATGCCAGGTTTGACATCATGGA